GATGAGGGGGGGAATGTTGTGGACAACACTGGATTAAGGTTTTGGCTAAGTTCAAGGAACGTTAGCTCTTCCTGCCAGATTTTTGGTTATTTGATTTAGGAGATCTTTAGGCTAGGTTCAGGGAATCTTAACTCTTCCTGCCACATTTCAATCTTTTGGGTGAGCCCATTCTAATTATAAATGTTAATCTTTTATCTTGATTGCTTGTGGAAAGATTGAATGGCAGGGTGGGACAAACGGGAAGGTTTAATCTTCTGCTTGCATGGGGGAAGAGTTTGGTTTGCTTCTCACAATACAAAGTAAATAATAAGCAATTCAAACAATAAATATAGAGGTACTTATCTTTTTTATATCCCCTAAGTATAATCTGTATCACTTTAAATATTAAATACACTGTATTAGAAACAAAGTCATGCTTAAAACAGACCCATTGGAATCAAGGAGAATAGGAACTCGTTACTCATTTAAACCCAAATGAATTCATGGGGTTTATCATCAGCATGATTTAAGTTTAGAGCAAAACCATTAAATTAAGCAAAATGAAACAAATGAACACTATGCAGTATTTTAAAAAACAATCTGTCTCTTGAGTAGAACAGTATTTTTGACTTTCTGCTTATATAAAAATGCCTCAGGCTTTCAACAGTTTTGAAAAAGTTACAAAGGAATTTGGAACATATAAACAAACTTTTTTTCCTTCAGGCCAGCTTTCCTTCCCCAACCCAGTGCTCTCCAGATGTGTTTGACTTCATTTCCACAATTCCTAGACAACACCATGTTTGTACTGGCTGTGATCAGAACTGTAATAAAACAGCCAGGCCTGTGCAAAACTTAGCCAATATCTTGCCCATCATAAAATGGAAAGTCAATAGCATTATGCACTTTTTAAAAAATTGGTCAGAACTTCTCTTCACTGAATACAGTTATGTCTACAATATGATCCCATGATCTATATCAGGGTTCCTCAACCTCAGCAACTTTAAGATGGGTGGACTTCAACTCCCAGAATTCCCCAGCCAGCCATCTCTGGGAGTTGAAGTC